GGGGGAGCGGCGGGGCGGAGAGGGGGGGGAATGTGCCCGATGGCGATGGGCTGGGAGGAGGGGCGAGGGGGGGGAGCGGAGGGGAAAAAAAGGAACAGAGGGCGGCGATCGATCGGGTATCATCCCCGCCAACGAAGGCAGCTCGGCTGGCTGGGTGCCTCTAAAATGTCCATCCTGTGACAAGGGCGGATCTCGGCCAACTGGCGGGGTGCCGAGGGGATGTGAGCCGGGGGCGCAAGAGAGAACGAGGGAACAAGAGAGAACGAGGGAACAAGAAAGAACGAGGGAACAAGAGAGCGAGAGAGAGAGAGAGAGAGAGAGAGATTGGAAGACCAGAGCACCGAAACACCAAAGCACCGAAGCACCGAAGCACCGAAGCACCGAGGTAGCGAAACAACGAAACACCGAGGTAGCGAAACAACGAAACACCCAAGCACCGAGGTAGCGAAACAACGGAACAAAAGAGGGACAGAGAGAGATCTGCCCCGGGGGCAGCGAAAGTACGAGTTTTCCCCCGGGGCCCCCGGGTGCACGGGATGGGAGACTCACTTTCCCCCGCCGGCCGGGCATGCGCACGCCCGATCGCGCAGGCCGGTGCCGGGCGCCGGGCCGCTCCAACAGGCCAGGGCACCGCCCCAGCGGGCAGCGGCGGCGGAGGAAAGGAAGCCGGGGCGTGTTGGCTCGGCCCCAGCCACACCCACGCGCGGTGGTTGGCCGGGGGGCAGGGGAGGGCGGGGAGCACACGCCCGGCCGTGCCCCGTTCCCCGGCCAGGCCTGGCACGCGCGTTGGCCGGGATCTGGGGCGCCCCGCGAGTGAACAAGCACGCCACACACGGGCCCCGAGCACGGCCCCCCTCGCCGGGGAATATATTGGGAACAACGCGGCCGGCGTGCCAGGGCCCCGCGTTTCGCGCGTAGCGCGCCCCACCCAAACACGGCGGAAAAAAGGCGGCCAAGTCGGCCGGCCGTCCTCCCGGGCCAGGACGCGGGCATTCTCTCGTGTGTGTGTGTGCGCGCGCGCGCGGGTAATGGTTCGGGGGGGGGGGGGAATGACCCGGCCCCGACAGGACGAGCTCACACGTCTTCGGCTGCCCTCCGGGCCGGCGGCGGCCCCTCCAACCGGGCAGCCGGCCCGGTGGTGATGCCGCGCAGACGCCGGGCCCCGCCGGCTGAGGTCATCTGAGCGTGTGAAGCGACTCGCGCGCGGCCCCGCAAGGGCCCGCCATTTGCCCGAGGCACCGGAGGCACGCACGCGTGCCGGCATCACGCCATTTGCCCGAGGCACCGGAGGCACGCACGCGTGCCGGCACCACCGCCGGGGGGGGGGGGGCGCCGCGCACGGCCCCGGCCTGCACCGCGCGACGCGGCCGCAGCCCGGCCGGTGACAGCGGCCCGCGCGGAGCCGGCGCCCGGACCGGGCGCCCCGTGCGTGGGCCGGCCGAGGGACACGGGGCACCTCCCGGCGCACCGGCCCCCCCCCGCCAGCCCGGCTCAGGCAGGACCCCCGACAAGCGCGGAGGGCAAGAGGAAAGGCCGGTCCGGCCAGGACCGCGCCCCGGGGCCGACCGGGCGGCGCTCGGAAAAAAGGTCGCCAGACCGGTTCCCGTGGCGGGTCACACATTGGTGCCGGGGCTCGTCGCGGGGGCCGAGAAACAAGGGGTGCGTGGGGGGCGCCGGCTGGATTGGGCCGGTGCAGGTGCACGCGCGTCCGGGCATGTTGTGGGGTTCGCGGTCAGGCTGGCGGCCGGGGGCGGAGACGCCCCGGGGCCGCACGTGCGCGCTCGCGCTCACGCCCGTGCGCGCATCTCACACGGTACATGGCTTCCCGGTGGAAAGTGGCGCTCCCCGGCCGGGGGGCGGGGCGGGGCGGGGCACCTTCCGGCTCGCGCGCGCCAGGGCCAGGGCCAGGACCGATGATGGGCCGCCGCCGGGCGGGGGCGGCCGACGACGGGGAAGCGCGGCCGCGCCCGCGCGCGTGCCGGGGCACATATCGATGCACGCGCCCCAGGCGCGCGATCGCCCCGGCGGCCCGCACGATCGGTCGTGCCCCCCCCCCCCGTGCGCAGCCGGCCGGGGATGCATATGCGGCGCATCGGCCGCGCCCCGGGGCATGTCCGATCAGTCGACGCGCCGCTGACACCCGGCCCCCCCCCCCCCCCTCGCATGCAGATGACGCCTTCCCGGGCAGCGCGGGGACGGGAGAACTTGCTCGTCTGGGCATGGCCGGCCGCGCCCGGGGAGGCACGGCGCGCGCCGCGGGGCGCGGCCAAAGGGGCGCCGCGATATGCTATATGAGCATACGCGCGTCGCGGGGGTGACTCGCTCCGGCCGGGCGCGTAGACCGGGCCGGCCGGGCGCCCGCCCCCCAGCGTGCCAGCACAGATCCTAAGCCCCCCCTCCCCTCCGGCGCGCGGGCGCTCGGGCACCTGCATGCTCGGGCGCCACCACCCTGTGGCGGGGCTGCGGCGGGGCTGCGGCGGGGCTGTGG